CTGACTTAGAATCATTATGATTCAAATAATTTATAAAATAAGCAAATATTGAGAGTGAAATCCAAATTTGAAGTTCGAGTTGAAAATCTCGGTTTTTCACCAATTTTGGATAAACTTCTTAACTAAATCGCATAGTTTTTATGTTATGACTTTGTCATTAAGTACTCTATCAAGCTCCAGTAGCCTCATATCTCAGATTTGATCTTTACATGGTTCCATTTTTATGTTTTGAAGTTGTTGAATTTTAGTTTTAAAAACAAAACTTTAAATTAGAAAATGAGACTCATTTCTTAATGAAAATTTGTGTTTTTCATGTCAAAATGTTAGGAAAAAAATTACCAAGGGTTTGGTGCAAAAAAATGAAGAAAAAAGGTCAAGAAATGAATCATTTTCAAGCTCAAAAGGCTTAAAATCGTGCAACCTTGGCTGCTGATCTCGTTGGTTTGGAACTGGGTCGGGCGGGTCAATATTTGACCCATAACCCGCTTCTGGAAAAAAAATGTATAAGCCTTGTGAGAATCCAGGTTCAAACCCGTGACCTCAAGCTGCAACACCAACGCCTCAACCAACCAAGCTAACGTGTTATTTACATTTTATTAACACAACATAATCTTCTTATTCCGTTATAATGCATTTACATTTACATTATAACCTCTAGAGTTCCGAAAATATAATTTTCTCCATATGATTTTCTGAAACTTTCATCAAGTTTCATTTTGATTTTGTAAAATGCAAACCTTGACCTAATTTTGATTATTTATCTCGTTTAGTTACCCAAATGACTCTATAAATAGAAAATCGGTATTTTAGCAATACTTCATTTATTTGCTTCTAAAATTAATCGAAATTAGTCTATATATTGGTGATTGGTCTATAAGCTTCATTTTTGTATTATTATTTTTATAAAATTACCAAAACGATCCTATATCTGGAAATCCGTATTTTAGCAATACTTTACGTATTTGGTTTTATAAAACTACCGAAATAACTCTATATATTGGGGATTGGTCTATAAGCTTCATTTGAATATTATTATTTTTATAAAATTATCAAAACGACCCTATATTTGGAAATCAAAATTTTAATAATACTTTACGTATTTGCTTTATAAAATTACTGAAATGACCCTATGTCTTGGGTAATGCTATATAAGCTTCATTTTATATTATTGTCTTTATGAAATTACCAAAATGACTATATAATTTGGAAATCGATATTTTAGCAATTACTTTACATATTTGTTTTATAAAATTACTGAAATGACCAAATATCTTGGGAATTGGTATCTAGGCCTTATTTTGATTATTATCTTTATAAAAAATGATTTCACAATTAGGGAATCAGTATTTTAACAAATACTTTGAGTATTTGCTTTATAAAATTACCAAAATGTCCCTACGCTTTTGGGATTGGACTTTTAAGCACTTTTTAATATTAGACTAATGAAATGTACCAATAATGTTTTAAATTAGGGAATTGGTTAAAACTATAACTTTGGTATCCGCCTTCTTAAGATTACCGAAATGCCCATAGACTTGGAAAATTGGTATTTTAAACATTATTTCGAGTATTAATTATGGTGAACTTTAAAGTTATGGAATGACCATTATTTATATATGTATGACATATTGTCACCATTATTCACCCGCAAATTTTAAAAGAGACGTTCTGGTCATAAAACATTATTCACGTTGCAAACTATTTCGTTTAACTATTTTGATAAAATACTTATTGTTCAAGAAAATGCGAAGTGTATTGCACATTTTTATAAAATGTACGACCGACAATTAATATTATAATGACATCACTTTATTAATAATATTTCAAGAAAATATTTAAGCGAAATATGAGATTTGATGTTACAAGGGGTTGATCAATAAAAATTGTTAAGATTACTCATGCGAAGATTCTTGTAGTAGAAGAATGATCAATTTAGTTATGATTATCTAAGGTGCTTAGAAATTATATGAATTATTAAGTAAGTTGTGGTTTTCGAGAAAAACAACCTATCGAACGTTAAGATTCAAGGTGAGTACATTATGCGATATAAAAACACATTTTCCAGTTGTGGATAAGCAAACCAACTTTTATTCATTACTCTTTTTATGAGATATATACATGATTATTACAAAGTATTTTATCCAAGATATTTGTATGATGTGTTCATATATATATATAATGATAACTTGATTGTATTGATGTACATGATATTCCAGTATATGCATGATATGAAAAATGATGATGATGAGAAAGATTATGATGACTTGATATTATTAATATGATATTCAAATATGTGTATAGTGTGAAAGATGATGATGATACATATGTGATTTATGTTGTCACTTACATGAGATGTATATTGCATGCCACAATGAGATTTACATTAATGAGTGAGTATTGCAAAAAAAAATGGTATGCAACTAGTATGATTCGACAAGGTTCATCCACCGTACGGGATGAGTTAGACATGAAAGGAGGACTTGCAATTTTGAGATCTTGGAGTCCTTGTCCATAAAATATGCCACATATGCAAAGAAAAGTGACTAGCCGAGACCTCACTTGCAATATAATAACTAAAATACATTAAAACTCTGTTTATATGTGTATGTGATCATGAAACCATATCATATTCAATAAGCTTTTAGCTTATACTATACATGTATATATCTCAGGTGTCAATTGTCATTAAACGAGTTGAATGAAGAAAGACAGAACTATGTTTTGAATCATGTTCGGTTAGATATTTTAATTAGCATTGATTACGTTAAAGTATTTTAAGCTTTCCTAGTTATGTAATGAATTATGTTAAACACATGATGTATGTTTGAAAGTTTTAAGTTCATATTTTTGTTCATGACATAAGTTATTAAGAATGACGTCATATCACTCGAAAGAACAAATTAAATCAGGTCGTGACATGAAATACTAAAATGTTGTTTCACATACGAGTTAAATCACTTTTATCGTTTTATGTAAAAATGGCAATCATTCGAAAAATGTGAAGGAAAAAATACTGATACTCGTGTCAAATTAAACAAGATAAAAGTTTCATTTTGTAAAAATATTTTTTTGATTAAAAAATATATTGTAATTAATATATTTTTAATTTAAAATTTTATTTGTAATTGATATAATTTTGATAGTCGTCATTATTGGTTATAGATTATCAAATACCTAGAATACATTTTCAACTTGTCATTTATCTAATAATTAGTTTCAAATTTCAACAATAATACAAAAATACGGTCATCTTTAGTTTCCGTAGATTAAATTCAATTAATAATTAAGATTGATACTCACAGTCCTAAACTTTTTATTTGATTCTTACATGATTTAACCTCTATATATGATATGATATAATATAAATATAATATAAGACGAAATACGTTCATCATCTAATTGGTGGTTTAAATAAATAGTTTTTTTTGATAAATAAATGAATTAACCAAACGACCCTCGACTTAAAAGATTATATCAAATTAATGGTGTTAGAAAGAGGGATTTAAATTGAAACAAAATGATTTTGTGTATATAGCTCCTCTGAAATATATGAGCGATATTTAAACAAAGCGTAAGGACAAACAGTGTAATTACTCTAAAGAAATTTATAGGCGATTTTCATTGAAAATGACAAATCATATTTTATTGTGATATTTTCGTTTCTCTTTCCTTATATTGAATTTTTAAAAACGATATATGTATTTAAAGATAACATGTTTTGAACGGGATTAAATAATTGAATGACGTGGAGATAGTCAAGTCAGCCCTTTTTGACCTTTTCCCATATATACCATCAATTTTGGATTCGCTATTTATAGTATTTATAAATAAACATTTATATAAATCAATCGATAGCGATTTCTCGAGCCTTTGAATTATTACCTTATCTACTACCTAACCTTCAAAAGTCGTAGTTTCTTAAGTAAATGGATTTGCAGTGACATGCTTGTTATGCCTTTACAAGCCTTCATATAAGTAACGCACTATAAATTTGTATATATCCACACGAGTCCAATTTTCTTTTAGAATATATAATAATAGTTTTAAAAAATTAGTAATAAAAGAGACATAAAAATATTAGTATTTAATAGGACTAGAATTTTTTTATTAATTATTAAAAATCCAAACATGTATTAAAAGGGTTAATTTGTTGCTCATTATATAGTATTATTTAATGTTTTTCTAAGTTTTTTTTTTATCTAAAACCGATGTTTAAAACTACTTGCCTCGAAAACTTTGATATATATTCTTCATAATTTATCTCCGATCGACTTTCTTGATTATTCCATTCTCGCGTGAATTCTATTTTTATATTAGAACATAATAGATCTTTTTGTTATTAGCTAACAAAACCCTCATCTTTTGAAAAAATTACCAACCATATAAGACGATACATCTTATATTTATATTTAGAATAATAAAACTATAATTGTTTTTCTCATAATTGTTCATTATTATCTAATATTGACCGGATGAATCTTATGTACTCTCCATGATGAAAAATATTGAACTTCTAAATCACTAAATGACCAAAATATCCAATCTAATCCATTACAATTGAGTAACCTTTTTTACCGAGTAATTGTAACATGATCGGTCTAGATCATATGAAAAAAAAAACCAAAATTTGGTTACCTACACTGGATGTATTGGAAGTGTAGCTGTGAAATTCAATTTGATATATCTCTATTTTAAAGCGATAATTCGAACCCTTAATCCGATGTTGCATTTTATTCTCTGTCACATGCTATTTTATTCCATGAGTTTGTGTGGTTTTAAGAATGAGAAATAGTCTCCAACTAGTTATTGAATTTTATGAATTACTCTTATGTTTTATAGGTATCAACACCTTCAACACATTTGAATGTGTTAATGAGTTGGTTATAAGTTAATTTTCATAAGTTCTTGAAGTTTTAATAAAGTTATACATATATAACAATAAGTTTTAAACTTGAATTTTATAGTGATTTTAAGAGTATAAGGTAATTACTTCATAATATAGCAATAACATTTGAACTTGTATGCACATACCGTTCAGATAAACAGTGACAAGGCAAATATTTACAAAACTTCATTACACAATACCAATGACACAATCGGATTTGGTCGGAGATTGCGATCCAATTTATATTCGTAATCCAAATGCTAACTCGTCGATTTTATAGAAAATACAAGTGGATGCTACTGTAAATATTGTCGAGGTTTTGTAGACATGCGATTGTAAGTACGACTCCTAGAGAATGTCGAGTCGTTATCTTCGATGAGAAGCTTGTTTCTAACAACTATATGTTCTTTCCTGAACGAAGAAACCCTGTCTTCCTCGATTCTCCCCATCCCAACACTACAACTTCTGGGCACACCTTTCTTGGATGCACATGGTTGTAGCTGTTGGCGTTGATGCTGTAGCCTGTACACATCCAAATTGGCAACTCTCAATTGGGTGGCTCTGCCGCCAATAGCAGCAGTCGATATAGACCTGACGAGAGCTCCTTCCGGCGGTATGTCGTTATCAGATAGGATGCTGGTGCTAAGGCTTCTAGGAAGTTGGTGGGAGTCGGGCGTGGCTGCTTCCATGGTCCTGAGAGGTCTGTTGTAGGTTGTGGAGAAGTTGGTGACACCTTTGACATAAAGATCCAGTGCTTTTGAAATTGCTCGTATGGGTGTTTTGATGATCTTAACCATGCTCACTTGCTTCTTTTGGCTCCTCATGATCTTTTTCTGGATTAAGAAGCAAATGTAATTGAGGCGGTTTGTAGAAAGCTTGTGAGTGAGAAAAAAGAAATGGTGGGCAGTGGTCCATATATAGAGAGGAATTGAAGAGAGAGGGGGAGGGAGGNCGAGTCTTTCGAGGAAAGATGGACAGAAAGAGTCAACATTGTTGGATTGTAATTGTACAATGTAATATGGGCAAGTGTATGATGTACGTATATGTAGACCTTTACGTTGAAGTATTAATCAATAATAAGATTATTTATGTATTTATTTTTATCACATCACATGTATCAAAAAGTATTTGTAAATATCAACTTCCAAAAGATGTCAGTCTTTTTTCCTTTATAATAAGTGCGTTAGACTCTCTTTGCTTAATTATAATTCGTTTCTTATATTTGTTTCACTTTTACACCTGAATTCCATGATATATAAATATGTATATATATTTTACTTTATTAATAATATAGTAATGTATTATTAACTTTAAATAATAAAAAATATTTTTAATATAATATATAGTTGTAGTAGGGAACTGGAAGATAGTTGTAACAAAGTACTCTCGCATTTATTTGTAAACAAATAACTCTTTATGTTAATTTAGAGGCCGTTTATCAAACACTTATCCAGTAAGTACTTATCGGTAAAATTTAACATTATCATTTACTTATCGAGTAAGATTTTAGTCCACCAAAATGGTATCGTGTGCAACAATTTACTCGGTAAGCGCTTATCGTGGTAAGATTTCGTCACTTACCGGGTAAGACTCTTGGTCTTTGTCTCGCTCTTACTGGGTAAGATTCTTGGTCCTTATCATATTCATCCAGTAAGGTAATGTAACTTGGTGTTACCCGAGTTAGTGTTTGGTAAACGACCCCTTAGTATGATTGAAGATTCTCTGAAACCTTTGGTAAAACTTACAAAAATAACTTATTAACATATAATCTTTTATAATTTAAGTTTATCACTTATTATTGTATAAATATTATTTCATGAATCTTCACGTTTGAATTCAATAAAAAAACAAACTAACAAACACGTCCAAAACACAAAATATATCGATTTGATTAATATAACATAATAGAAGATAAATTTTGGATTTTTTAATAACAATTACTTTAATTTTCTATTATAAACTACTAACAACTTTTACATCCGGTTATGCTGCAGTAGCTAGTTATTGATAAATCTGTTTTTATGTAAGATTATAATATTTTTTTCCAAAAACAAACTACTTTTTATATGACAAGTTTTTAAAACTGATGAATGATTCATAAGATAATACTCTAACATATAATTAATTTGTTTTTAATTATGAGGGTTATATATTTATATTATTACTAGAAGGGTACTCGTGCAATGTCACAAGATAATTTTTCGTCTTAATGTTTCATTTTATTTTCATCTTTGTTATTATAATATGGTTTATGTGATTTTGAGAGAAATAATATTTTACTTTTGAATAAAAATATTTGAAAAAGTATATTAATATTAGTATCAAATTAACCATTTAAAAGTTCTCGTTTTTTTATACAATTTTTTTTTTATTTCAATTTGTTTGTTATACTTTAATTAAGGTCAAAATGAAGTAATTTATTTTTGACTTAACAATAAATTTTTTATAAGGATAATGATTCTGTTAAAACTTAATAATTATCTTAAATATGTTTTAAATTTTTTATATTTAAAATGAGAGGTTTATCTTGTATTTAATTATATTTATCTGCAGTTAGTTATACAAATTTAAAATGGAGCTTTAATAAGCTGTACATACGCATAATTTACTTGTAATCTTAAATTTTAAGTAATATGCATTAATACACGACACTTAATGCAAAATAATTAATGGTTTTTAAAAGTTTTTGTCAAATATTTTATAATATATTATAGATAATATTCAAATAAATGTAATATAGAAAAAAAAAATACATAGAACAATATTATGACCGATATATATATATATATATATATATATATATATATACACACACGGGAGCGTTCAAATAAAAACCACTCAATTTGTAAAAACTGTGAAAACCTCATTCAACCAATCATAATTTTT